GGTGGTTATAATCATGGTCGTGGTTGTTATAATCATGGTCCTGGTTATTATAATCATGGTCGTGGTTGTTATAATCATGGTCCCGGTTGTTATAAGCATGGTAGTTGTGATCATGGTCGTGGTTGTTATAATCATGGTCGTGGTTGTTATAATCATGGTCGTTGTTATAAGCATGGTCGTGTTTGTTATAATCAGTGGTCTTGGTTGTTATAATCATGGTCGTGGTTGTTATATTATGATCGTGGCTGTTATAATCATGGTCGGTTGTTATTATCAGGGTCGTGGTGATATAATCATAATCGTGGTTGTTATAATCATGGTCGTGCTTGTTATAATCATGGTCGTGGTTGTTATAATCATGGTCCTGGTTGTTATAATCTTGGTCGTGGTTGTGATGCTTACAGTATCTAATATACTATAAGAAGAAATAGAATAAAGGTTAGAATAATTAGTTAAAGAAATATTCGCCAAAAGGAGAGAGGTTAAAATCATTAAAAAAAATATTATGAATCACCGATGACCATTCCGAGATAAATTATATTATGAAGAGAAGTGACATTGATTCAGGTTGGGTTAGTCACCATCTGCTTAAGTCATCACCTGTGTTAAGTCATCATAGTCATCATATACGTTAGTCAGTTTTAGGCCCATCTCACATGACTGACCGACCATGGATGTTCTTTTTCCAATGAGGGTATTGAGTCTTACTATTTACGCTGGTGGATATAAGACCTCCTACCCTCACCGACGCAGCTATGGTCAATTTGTATTATTTTGTTTTACAAATGCCTTCTAATCTGTCTCAAGTCTATCCGTTCTGTCTATTGCCATCCCAACTGTCTCTTCATCTGCGTGGTGTTTGAATGTAAGCCCGTCTGTACTTGTGTCGTCAAGTCTGTTTGTCTTATTCGTAGTTGTCGGCGTGTGGGTGCCTGTTTGTCTAATGTGAACCAGTCAGTCAGCTGTCTGTCTGTCATGTTAGTTGCCATATTGTCTATTTGTGCATGTATGAATCTGCCTATTTTGTCAACCTCCTGTCTGTTTCTCACTGTCTATATTCATCCTGTGTCTATTGCAGTCATCTTCTCCATGCATTCCTGTTATTATCTTTTTATCTCTTCTCCTTTTCTACCCACAGAATAAGTATACACTGTAGCTGTAAGGTCGTCTGGTAACGTTGAAACTGCTCATCCAGACACATGATGAAACTCAGCCCCCACCTGTTATCTCTAACTATTTTCTGTTTCCCTTCTTTATTCTTCTATTTACTCATATTCTTCCTTTACTAATCCAAACAACATTAAAAAAAGTAGGCTAAGAAAAAAGGTGGGGGAAGAGGAGGGAGCCATACGATAACAGCAATCGTGGGCTGACAGAGTACAGCGAATGAGGTGCGCCAAGTCTGTAGACTTGCATCATTTACCAGCGTAATAAATGGTTATGTAATGGCTATCCTAAAGAAACCATCGATAGTAAGACCAGCTACCCTCACTGATGCAGCTATGGTCAATTTGGTGTTATTCTTGTTTATAAATGCCATCTAATCTGTCTCAAGTCTATCCGTCCTGTCTATTGCCATCCCAACTGTCTGTTCGTCTGCTTGGTGTTTGACTGTAAGCCCGTCTGCACTCTTTGTGTCTTCAATCTGTCTGTCTTATCCGTTGTTGGCGTGTGTCTGCCTGTTTGTCTAAGGTGAACCAGTCAGTCAGCTGTCAAACTGTCTGTCTGTCTGTCGGTCATGTTGGTAGCCATATTGTCTATTTGTGCATGTATGAATCTGTCTATTTTTTGTCAACCTCCTGTCTGTTGAACTGTCTATATTCACCCTGAGTCTATTGTAGTCATGTCTGTCTGTCTGTATGTATGTGTCTGTCTTATATGTTGTCTTTGTCTTTCATAAGTCTGTCTATCTGTCTGTCTTTCTGTGTGTCCTTAAATCTGTCTGTATTATGTCTGTCTTTTGTGTGTCCGCTTCTCTCTCTCTCTCTCTCTCTCTCTCTCTCTCTCTCCATTTTTATCCGTACTATCTCTATCTTTATTTATATATCTCTATGTCTCTCCATTACACTACTTATCATATTTAGCACTTTTTCTTCCTTATTAAATAGGTG